GGTTCCCCCTCGAAACCCTACAACTTTTATATGAAACTTTTTTCGATTCCTGGCCACACAAACGAGTTATTGGAGGTGATAGATTCAGATGACTCATCCTGTATATACAGGGTGTCCCCAAGTCCCATGATGACCCTTGATGAGAACGTAAAACGGATTGAGGTGAGTAAGAAAGTCCTGTGCCGTTTTGCGATATTCGCAAAACGGCACAGGACTTTCTTGCTCACCTCAATCCGTTCTACGTTCTCACCAAGGGTCATCATGGGACTTCGGGACACCCTGTATATATATATATATATATGTGTGTGTGTGTGTGTGTATTCATAAACATATCAACACATGGAAGCCGCCATATTCTTGCAAACAATCGAAGTTTGCACATTTCTTACTAAAGGATCTCTATTTCAGCTTAGAGACCCTGTAATAAGAGTCTGGCCAACTTGACAGTTCTGGCAAAATTCTGGAAGAGAGAAAGATATAAAGATACACAGACACACACACACACACACACACATACACACACACTCAATCTCACTTTGTCTCACTCGAACCGAACGTATGCATACGGTGCCTGCGTATAAACAGTGAACTATTCAAAATATATAATAGTTTATTATAAAATGAATGGATGCCCTTATAGAAATATCATACTAAGAATCATTGATAATTACTTATTTTCAGTATTAAAAATACTGGATAATAAGTAATTATCAATGATTCTTAGTATAATATTTCTATAAGGGTGTGCAGCGCCTTTTAGTAACAAGGGTTATATAATGAAAGTGTTTCCCAGAAATCCTCAATGTTGGGCTTTGTGGGAACAAAATATCCAACGTGATAATTGAACAACAACGAACAATTCATGTCTCTGCGAGATTAAGTAGTGTTTTGATTCTGTTACTATACAATGTATATAAAAATATATATATATATATATAAATTTGTATAAACTGTATATAGAAATATATATTTTTTATCATACAGGTGCATTTCTCTCCATATGGGAGA